CCGCAGGCGCGATCAAGTCTTGAGCCAACATAAGTTGGCATGTCATGACTCACCTAAGTGATCACAGGAAAGTGTATTTTTAACACATACATACATACATACATACATACATACATACATTTATATATACGCAAGGCAGCCCATGTGCTTGCGGGCCTTCTTTGAGAGTTTGGCTCCCTGGCAGTTCTCGATGAAGGCCTAGAAGCGACGTGTGTCCCGCAATAGGCAATAGCTGTAGCTGCATCTCGATGAATTGAGCAAGGATTTTCATTTCCACCAAGATTTTGGGGAGCACAGAGAGGAGCGGACAGGACTTAGTGTTTGCATGATACAGCAGGGACCGTTATCTGGACTGCATGCTCATGAAACGCAGGTCGGCTATATCTCTGATGCGGCAGAGGCCAGGTGCCGGCAACCAAACCCTGCTACACCCGTCAAGCCCCAACAAAGCCAATCTGTAGCATGCATAGGAAGCTGGGACCCTCTCTTTGAAAGCTGTCCGCACGACAGTTCGTTCATCACCACCAAGGATTGCCACCACCTTGGCTGGAACTTCAAGAGCTGCTTCTTCAAATACACAAAATTCGATCTTGATCCATATTTGGGAGCCCAACACAAGTATTGAAGTCACTGGCGCGTATGCAAAAACAAGAGGCAAGTCCTCCAGGCTTGCCAAAGTTTGCAAGGGCAATATTAAGGCTATATCGGGGTTATATTATATTGGGATAATGGAAAATAAAATGGAAAATACTATGTAGGGTTGAGGGTAACTTCACAGTATTCGCCCAAAATACCATGATCCCTACCATGGGGACCCTGAAAAGGTACCCCTAATTTTGGGAAGCCTCCAAAACAATTCCCATCCTAAAACCTCCCCCACATGGCATCCCAGCTGCTGCGTTGATCTTGGACAGGCGGCTCCGCCTGCTGCGTGCCTCCCAAGAGACTGGGCAGACTTTTCCTTTTGAGAGCTTCAGGAATGGGATGATGGAGAGCTTTTGTGTGGTGATCCGTCCAAGGGTATATGAATTCTACAGCAGTTTCTTTTCCAACGAATTCGTCACCATGTATCTCACCACTCGCGCGTTTGTGGCAGACGGAATCCAGAAAATGAGGCATTCTGGCTCTTAACTAAAAATCCATTACCGCGACCATCACATGGTCTTGAATCATTCCCTTGCAACAGGCGGCAGGAACTCTACCGGACACCCTGAACCCTAACGCCCAAAGGTCTCTGGCCAGCGAACCCTAAACCCTAATCCCCTAAACTACTGTAAACCTTCAACCCCTAAACCTCTAAACACCCTAAACCCCTAAACCCTAAACCCCCAAAGATCTCTGACCTATGGCTTGATTTAGCAAGGCATATTGTCATTCTATGAATCTGTCACACGCGAAGCCACAGGATGCATGGGAATCAGTAGGGGTTCTATGGATACCTCTTTGGGATGTTCTAGGCAGCTACAGGAAAAGGCTAAATATCTTCCGCCAACAATGAAGCTGGCCAGTCTAACAGGAAAAGTCTTCATAGAAGAGCCTAAGGAGAAAAGGATTGTTTCTGGCAGATTCAGCGACGCCGCCCCCCAAATGAGCCATAGTCTAAACTCCTGGTATCCCCCTTCATAACCCCTTTAGCAATGCCATCTAAATCCCCTATAACCCCCTCTAAGGAGTTCAGACTCTGGCTCAAATGAAACCACCATCATCCACCATCTATGTTAGGAGATTAGTGGCCCAGACGCCACCTTGTCAGCCCAAACGGAGAAGCTGTACTCAATGACGAGACGGTTGTTCTCCTGCATTCGGAAAAGTGGCTGTTAACATAATCAGCGAGCCCAAAACTTGAGCAAGGAAAAGGCATCAAGGGGACCCAATGTAGACCCCGTCCCTATTTTATGGGACCACATAAAGGCATCCCTAATTTTGGGAAACCCTCAACTCTAAACCCTAGATAACACCTACAAACCCCTTTTAAAGGTACTCCTAATCTTGGGAAACCTCCAAGTCCGAAGCCCTAAACTAATATCTATAAACCTCTACATTATCCCAGTTCTTACTTCATGTTCCATGAACTTTTCCATCTGATTCTCCATTCTTAGGGGGTCAACAAATCCCTAAATCCTCAACCTGACATATCCCCTATAAACTTATTATAAACCCCCCTACATCCCCTATAATTCCCTGTAAAGTCATGGGGACCAAGTCTGACTGGCACCTTCGATAAGGGAGCGTTCCGTAATCTCTCTAGGGACTTTAGGAGGGACCCCTAATAGGGACCCTTACTCCCATTACCATATATAACCCTTATATAGTCATTATATCCCTAGGATGTCCCCACATTAATCCCAATAAGCTACAAGGGTCCCTATTAGGGGTCCCTCCAAAAGTCCTTAGATCGGAGGTTCAGGCCGCAACATGGAAGGGGCAAAGCCCCGGCCTCCTCCCACTACCAGTCCCAGTACCAGATCAGGCATATTAGGGCATATTATGGTAATATCCTAGACTATATCTTACAATACTAGGATATTTTATAACATATACAATGATGAATGATGATAATATATGGAGTGTGACATAACACTCTATAATACAATATAATTGATTACAGTATATTACAGTACAAATGCTTTTTCTTCTTCTACTCCAACTTCTTCCTCTCCACCTCCTCCTACCACCAGCACCACGACTACTACTTGTTTATCTTCTCCACGATGTCTGAAGTTCCGGGGCCAAATCTGACTGCTTCTTAGTAGGAAATATGGGAATGTAACCCCTATGTAATCCCTGTATAATATACTCCCGTATTCCCTACTATAACCCCAAGATGTATGCTATGATGCCGTAATAGTTTCCATTTTCATTTCCATTGTCCTCATATGTACACATCTACTACCCCAAACCCTGAACCCCAAGACCTAAACCCTAAATAAACCCTAAACCCTAAGCCCTAAACCCCAAACCCTAAACCCGAAACCCTAAACCCCAAACCCTAAACCCCAAACCCTTAAACTCCAAACCCTAAACTCCAAACCCTAAACCCTCAGCCCTGAACCCCAAACCCTAAGTCCAAAGCCCTAAACCCCAAACCCTAAACCCTAAACTCCAAACCCTAAGCCCTAAACCCCAAACCCTGAACCCTAAATAAACCCTTAACCCTAAACTCCAAACCCTAAACTCCAAACCCTAAACCCTCAGCCCTGAACCCCAAACCCTAAACTCCAAACCCTAAACCCTAAACTACCAGAAAGAAATGCAGGCGCCTCGGAGCCTCGGTTGAAGAGAAGCGCCAGCGAGGATTTGGCGCTGCCCCGGATCTCCTCAAAGGATTTGGAGGTTTCCCAAGATTAGGGGTACCTTAAAAGGGGTTGTATAGGGGTTACAATGGAGAATCAGATGGAAAGAGCATGGAACATGAAATATGAACTGGGATGATGTAGGGGATTATGGAAATCAGGGCTTCAGATTTGGAGCTTGCCCGAGATGAGGGGTACCTGATTGTAGGGGTTATCTATGGGGATGTAAGGTTTAGGCTTTAGGGTTTCTCAACATCAGGGGTACGGGGTCCCAATGATCAGGGGTCTGTATTGGACTGTCATTTGGACTTCAAGGCTTTAAGATGATATCGAGAAATTCATAGGTGTTTGGGCATTGCTTTCCATAGCAGTTCAAGGTTGTTGTTCACAGGTTTTGAGGGTTTGAGCTTCAAGATTTGAGACTCGGCTCTGAGGTTTCGGGGTCCAGGTTCAGTACACCGGCCTGAGGGTTTCGGCAACACGTGATGACTGGACATTGGCGAAAAAAGACCAAAGAACAAGATGCATAAATGGTAGTTTCCCAAAATAGTGGGACCCCAATATAGACCCCAAAATACTATAGTCCTTATTATTGGAACCCCCAAAAAGGTTCCCATAATTTTGGGAAACCCCCAAATAGAAAATGCAAGGCTTGCTTCAAACCCTGTCCTTCCTAAGTAGTATTTTATTTGGGGATATTATAAGGCTATATTGGGGATATATGGGGATAATGGAAAAGAAAATGGAAACTATAGGGATTCTAGGGTTAACATCATTTACAGCCCTTCGTGGGATGCTGAAAGAGGTCTCGTCATCCTCACCCATTAGGACTGAACAGTTGGAGGTGTAAACGAAGGAGCTGTGTACAAAGGATTCAAAGTTGTGCTATCATGCTTTCCATCTTTAGCGGGGCAGACGAGGAGTATGAAAAAAAAATGCATCTTGGGAAGAAAAGCTTGAGCGAGCCTCAATTTAGTCAATGCCTCTGCATGCATCAAAGTCAAGGCCAGCGTACATAAAACCTGATTGGTGCTTTTTGGGCGGGGTGCCGATCACAAGCACTGTCAGTATGATTGAAATAATGCGCATCGTAAAAGCTACCCGCTTGAGTGTGACCTCATTTCTGCTGCGCACCTTCTCCGGACCAAAACTTGTTTAGTGCGAGTCTCGGAATAGAAGTAACTTTTCTGCTCCAGCTGCAACGCGCATGAGAGCTTCCACATATGCGTGGATGCCAGCCGCATGCCCATCTGACTGGCTAACTGGGTGTGGGAAGCCCACGGTGGGTTGCTCAGCCACCCCACGGAACAAAATGCAGAGCCTGCGGTGGGGTTGCTGGAAAAACACTTTAAGCAAGTTTCTCATGTTGTTATCATTAACAACAGCAGGAATCCAACAAAGGATGCTAGTAGCAAACCCTCAGCAAACTGCAGCAACTAACTATGCATGAACACGCTGCACCCAGTCACGGAGTGCTGGATCTACGAAGTCGCGGAATGCCTCAGCAGCTTGGCGGCTTCAAGGCAAATCCCAGTAGAAGACAGCCTGCAGCCAAGCAGCTTTCATGTGCGCCTCTGACTCGGGGCCGAAGTGTGCTGCGGTGTAGCCGCTGAAGACCCCGCGAGTCTCAAACTCGTAGTAGACAGCATACCTTGGGCTTCTCAGGCTTCTCCGGAGTCTCCCCGTGCAGTCATGACACTCACCTGTTCTAGGCTCCTTGATAACTGAGGTCGTCAGGACCACGCTTTGGCTCGTGCTGCCAGTCACCGATTTGCGTGGAGATCCAGTTTACAGCCGAAAATGCAGCCGCAATAGTTCGAGCATCTACAAAGGAATTTCCATAGAAGGTGAAGTCTTCAATGCTGAGAGTACAGACAAACAGCACCAGGAAGAGGAGGAGGACGACGAAAGGAGCAAGGAGAAATGAGCGCAACAGCGACTGTGACAGAATACAAGATGTTGTGCCAGATGCGTGCCAAGCGGCCGATCTTTGTTGCCATGGTGTTCGATGCCGCGATGTTCGCAGAACGAATCGTACAACACGACCTGAGCAACACATGCAAAGCAAGCCTTCCTTGCTGGCTGGTAGGGAATGAAAGAATAGACATGAAAAAAGCCAACCGTGTTATTTCATAAAGGGCCAACTGTAGGGATCCGTTCCTCCATTCCCTATTAACTACCAGCAAGTTTCAAGAGCTTCCAAAAAATGACTGGGCAATAGCTTTATTGACTCTTTGTGCAAAAGTCCTGCACAGCCACCGCCAAAACAGAAAAGGCTTTAAAAGTGCAGGGTAGGTGTGTCATAAAACACGGGTGCTGCGCATCCTAATGACACAAGATAAAAAGATAGTCTGGGTAGAAGTTGAGGGTTTTGCCTGGCTCGAGGCTAGCCGGCAAGCCGAGCAAAGTATCAACTCAGAAGGTGGAGGTAGCAGATCTATTAGTGCTCATCATAGCCGTAGCTGTCAAAGGATCCAGTGTCTCCCTGCCTCCTTCACCCCAACAAGCCAAACGTTCTCAGGTCCCAGGCCCCACATTCATAGTTTTGGTGGTCCCCCACCCATAAAGTAGCGGTGCAATGGGAACGTTGTTCGTACGAACCCTTAGACAATCACTTCTACTTCTACTACCACCACCACCACCACCACCACCATCACCACCACCACCACCCCTGCTGCTGCTGCTGCTGCTGCTGCTGCTGCTTCTTCTGCAGTATAACCAAGACGCAGCTGTTGCCAAGGTCACGTCATCGAGTCCACTCAACAGGTCTGGTGAGGAAAATGATGCCAATGACTCGGTTGCTGTTTAAGAACTTAAACTAATATACCATAGTGGGTATATGTAGTAATTAAGATGGTTTCCTTAATGCAGTAATTTGATCTAAGTTCCTTAAGAGCAACCCAGATGAGGCAAGGGTCTATCCAAATAACCCCCATAAACTTCACACTTCAGAGCTCTACAACCCCGCATAACACTATCAACTTTATATATACATGTGTATATGTATATGGCAATATATGTATACATAATCCCTGGAAATCCCTACAGCATCTAACGTTGTATAAACCCCTATGACTCGGTAGAAACCCCACATGACCTTGTATGACCCTATAGAACCCCATAGCACCCAATAGAACCCTGTGCAGTCCTATATTCTCCGGGCCAAGTAGCCGAGCCAAGAGGGGGCGCCGCGACGACTTCGAAGCCAGGGGTCAGCATGCGATGGGAGCCGGGGACATAGGCCAACCTGTGTGTGTGTGTGTGTTTGTTTTTTCTCCACAGCCCATAACGGTCCTGTAGAAATGTCTTACGACACAGCCCTCGAACAACAGACCTCTGGCCCGCCATCCAACTGCCATCCTGAACTCACCCTTCAGTCACCCCTCCTCTGCAAAAGCAAGACGGTTTGCCAACAGTATACAGAGCGCATCCGTTCTTGCAAGGAAAGCGGGAAAATGCTTGCACAAGTCAACCTGTGGGTTTAGGGGTTTAGGGGTTTAGGGTTTTGGGGTTTAGCGGTTGAGGGTTCACGGACAAGATTTTCTAGGGATTTTTTTATGAAGAGATACAAAGATACTAAATTAGCATATGATAGGGCTACGTCAATATAGCACCATTATATACATATTTTTACATGTCTATACAACCTGCGTGCAGGACTCACCACCTTCTCCAAATCATTAAACCCCCGCCTTGTACAAGACCCTTGCACATTAAAAGAAACATTCACTCTTAGGGGTGCGGTGCCGGGTTGATTATTAGGGGAGGTGATTGCAAAGGGCTTGGGCTTGATGGGATTCCGCTCGCAGAAGAAGGCCAAAAGGCTGTCAAAAGGGTGGTCAGACTCCGTACAAAGATATTTATATGCGGCTGTGGCAGCTCAGACCTTTGGGGAGTATCCCCTTTCGGATAGTGATACTGGAAGCCTTGGGGTGTAGAAGGTCTTTCGGACAGTAGAGGTCGAGTCTAAGCCAAGGATACCTATAATTTGAAGCACTTACCAGGCATCCACTTGGATGCGGTAGCTGTCGACAGGATTCTGAGGCTCCAACGGCCCGTTGTTGGCGTGCAGCTGGGTCAGGGCCACCTACTCATGGAAACCAGTACCACAGAGACATCCTTCTAAGTGTGCAAGTCACAATTGCGGCAGCAGCATGCAACAGCAAGACTAGTGGCTAGTACGTGTCGACCAGCTGGAACAACTAAGCCGAGACTCGAGGCTTCAGCTATGCGAAAAAAACTATTAACAGGAGCATGGTGGCTGGCTTTCGCATGCAAAAACAACTGGTATGAATCCTACTCCAAAGAGAAGTAGTGCCAGAAGAACGCCATTGCTAGAGATCCAACCCTGCCCAGCGTTAGGAACCGGAGAATGGATGATGAGTCACACGGGTACAATGACAATGTTGAGGAAAATCATGGTACAACATCCATCGATGGTGAGAGAAGCAATTATGATAACCCTTGTGGAGCGGCCTGCGCCGTGACCTGTGCAGCAGGGCCCGGGAAGTTGATGTCCCGGTGGTGCTTCTGGGGCTCTGAGCCTTTTAGCAGCAGAATCGTCTTTTGACTTGGTCCAAGTCCCTACTGCTGCTCTGCTAACAAAACAAGGCTTGTTGGATAAGTGCGCCAAAGAAAGCAGCATGTAGACATCACGTGGAGCGCGACTACTTGCCATGTTCTGATGGCTTCGGCTCCTCTTGTGCAATCTAGGATCCGCTCTGTCCCAATTGGGTCATGGCTTTGACACATTGAATGTATTTATGCACTGCTTAGCAAACGGACACCTGGAGGCGTTCTGATGAGGGAGATCCGTCCGAAGAAAGGCCCCGTCTCGACGTGGGTCCCTGCGCGGAATAGTACGAAAACTGCCGCAACCACTGAAATCCTTGCTTTGATCACATGACTCGCAAGAAGCGCACTAAGAAGGCTGGGGCTTGGAAGATGCAAGGGAGCTTTGGGAGAGGTACTACAAGGTCTGGCAGCTGAGTTCCTGCTGGTTCCAGCTTAACTTTGGGAAGCTCAACTTCCAATGAACGTATGAAGAAGTGAGTGGGTTGAAAGGGAGTCCCCTCCCTGCTACTGGCGCGGAGCATAGCACGCTTTCAAGACAACAAGATTGTTCCTTTAAGATTCCCCGCATGTTTCAGACTGTTCCCGGCCTACATCACTACAGCCCGGCGGTGGCTTCTCCAGGAGGTGACCGGCTTTTGGCCCCCACTCTGGCATCCTTGGAGTAGGCATGAGTCACGGGTACACTTAAAAATGGTTAATTAATCCTGGAAATTGCATGACAACTCAGACAGTGAATGCAGCGGCGATACTGGCGATGGCAATTTCAGTCGCGTCAGGTGCAGCTAGAGCAAGCAGAGGCTAACCCCACACCTCATACCCTATACCCCCCCCTATGCTTTCACCCCATT